CAATCAGTCAACACCGTGACGAGGCACAAGGGAAGGTGCTGGGCGGGGCTACGAAGATGCGCAACCAATCAGCTCATGGGATAAATCCACTCGTGCTGTGTCATTGGTCGACATCGTGCTGGAAACCAATCATGCGTACAGGCATGTACAAAACCTGTGAGTCTTTCGTCATTTTTTTTCTGAATAAAGTACTCTGGGGAAAAAACCTGCGATGTACTGAAGCCGCGATAAATAAAGCGCAATATAGTGAGGGATCACTGTACTTGTTTTGACCGTCTCTTCATTTCATTGGTTCGTCTATTCATTTCACCCGGAAGCCCACTATACCTAAACCTTTTGTGAATAGTGTCATTCTTCAGTTGTAATGTTTTTTTTTTTTTTTCAGGAGTGACCATTGTGTAAGAAGGTGAGTACTGACGGGCCCTGCAGAAAGTGAGGGAGGCTAATGACGAAGGAGCCAACCGCCATGACTAAGCAGCCGATCGCAATCAATCTGGGACGGTGGAGTTTAGCCCCAAAGTAGCTCACGAAGGCTATCACCAACAAGTTCCCTTCAAAAGAAGAAGCAATCTTATGAGGGAAATGTATTTTTTTTTCCTTAAAAAAAAAAAAAAAAAAGAAATCCCTGGACTAACCCATTTCAAAGCTGCCATCTATGACCCCAATGAGAGAGCTGGGAATGTCGAAGCGCCTCTCAATCTGGGTGATGGAGCTCTTCATGTATGCGCCACCAAAAGCTTTGGCGAAGTACACAAACGCCATGGCAGCCAGAAAGAGCTGCAATGAAGGAGGGGGTGGGGACAGATATCGTACAAAAACTACTCAGAAAAAGTTTTAAGATGTTCAGCTTTTGGGTGAGATATCAGGATGAACCTAAAATGCTCGAGAACATTTACAGGTGAAGTTAATTTTACTTTTTCTGTACTTTTGAATGCGCATGTCCAAATTTTCAAGGAGTTCAATGGCAAAATTCAGTAAAGGGTTTTTTTGGACATCCAATCCAGTGCCTTTCTGTAACTCCTCCCGTTTCTGCTTCAACATGCTGATTCTACTTGACTTGGAGAACATCCTGTTTTAAAGCCTCACCAGTGAGATACAGTTGGCCAATGGTTAGGTGTCCGCTTAGTCTCGTGATGAAGATGACGGTTTAAATCAGAGGTGTCAAACGTACGGCCCGCGGGCCGGAACCGGCCCCAAGGAGATTCAATCAGGCCCCCAGGATAAAAGTGAAAAAATGCACAAAAGACACGGAATTAATATTTTTAATAAGGTGCAGTTCATGGAGTATGCGCTAGGGCAGGGGTCCCCAACCTTTTTTGCCCCACGGACCGGTTTATGTCAGACAATATTTTCAGGGACCGGCATTTAAGGTGTGGCGGAAATAATACAACAAAATAATATGGTATGAGCTGCATGAAAACTGTGGTGTTTTCGAAATATAATAATAAACACAAGGAGCGTCTAATCTGGCCTCAACACTCCAATCGCTATGGCAATGTTTAATGCCTTCAAAATACGATACAACGCAAATTCAAAGTGCATGAAAATGACGACTCACCACAGCACCGAGCTTGATTTTCTGCAACCAGACGGTCCCATCTCGGGGTAATAGGAGAGACAATGACACCGCAAGTGTGTGGTTTATGTCCAGTCTACTTCGTAATTTTGTTTTCGTCGCCGTTGCTGCATAATCCCCCCCGCCTCACACAGGTAGGGTGTCGGAAATAGCAAAAGTGCTATTGTGGCAATCTCAGAGTATTCAGACATAACTTTAATCCAGTTGTCTCGAACGTACTTTTAAGGCCGCCGTCATTTGCGATCTCCAGCAGTTTTTTTTACTCATTTGCGAGCTCCGGTGTTTGTTTTTAGCCTAATTGGCCGCGTTACGGAGAAGCGTGGCTTGACGTGTGTCAAGCTGGACAAGAAGAAGGCAACAGCAGTCTCAGTCTGTCACTGAGACAGACCCAACACAGCAGACGCTATCAAGGACATGTGAATACTTTATTCTTTACACATTTAATAGCATTCTCATTAGTTTGTAAGGTGTAGGCAGGGATTAAATTTAGATTTTGTGTGCACGTGTATGGTTTAAAAATTCCTTTCTTTCGAAATCTCGTTGAATCTTAAAATGCATAACTATATTTTTCAATACCAATTACTCGTTTGTTAAAGTTTTGTGCCTTTGTACAGTCAGTGGGATCAGTTGCAATCCATATATGTGAACGACAAAAGTAAATTGCACATTTGTCTAAGGAAATCTAAGGTGCTTCATGAAAGGTTTTGTAAAAGATATGTTCATTAAATTTCAACATTTTCCTAATGTTCTTGTGCTTCTTTAGACCAAAACAAAGGAAAGACATGTTATTTTAATTATTTGTAGCAGAGTATGATACAATTGTAATGGTCCTGCCCGCTTGACATCTACCAAGGCCATATGTGGCCCACATTGTGAAATGAGTTTGACACCCCTGGTTTAAATAAACTTTGAAGCAAGACATTCATTGGCCATTTCGTGGAATCGTGCTGCGAATTTTGCCATAATGCTGCTTGCTACAGAACAGCAAAAAGTCAAAAGTACCGAAACATGGAACAGCCCTAAAAGGTCAAGAGAATTTTAGGTTCATCCTGAAATCTTAACTGAAAATCTAATTTATTCTGAATTGTGTTGAGAGAATATACCATATCAGAAAAGGATGCCCACTGGCATATGTTCTCGGTGACCAAGCATTTAAAATTGAAAAAGAATTTCATTCATTTCCGTAAAAATAAATAAATAAATAAATAAAAGACAAAAAGCAACATTTTGGTAGAAAACTGAAATACAGTGGTATACCTCCATAGTGAATTTTTGTGGGTTGAAGGTAATCCAGTACTAATTACAGTATTTTCAGGTACAAAAATCCAATGAAATTCAAATTAAAAAAGCAACACGATTTAATGAAAAAATTTGCAATTACGCAGTGTTTTCATGTTTTTTTTAAGTAATTATTAAATCCAGGATTTAACATCAAATATAGCATTTAAAAATGATGTTACAACATTTTTTATGTAACCATGTGTTTGTTTGTTACAACTCATGTTTACATAACACAATTCAATCCAAATACATTATCAGGCCGCGGGCCGATAACCCTTGAGGACATCAGAAATGAATTTCCTGATTATTGGATATGATTATGGTCTTTCCTCTGTTGCCCAGTTATGGGAGAGGATAAGGTTCGAGAAGCAGTTTGATTTTTTTGGTCAAGCCTCATCACGTTTTTTTGTTTTTTTTCCCCACAAGTTTGCAACAACGTGCACGAGACTTTCCGTCGTGAAGCAATCCTGCAAATTTTTAGTCCGTGTTTGTTTGTTATTTCGGCGAGCTTGTTTGCACTGACCTTGAGCTTGGAGCAGCAAGAATCACGCGGCGGCTTGTTGGACTCTACACTCATGATGCTGCTGTGTTTTCAAGCAATCTGTGTGAAAACATTTTTTCTTTGACTATAAACAAAACAACAACAAAATAATCATGCACCTACAGTCAACCACAACTGGCCATCTGTCAAGAGAAAACACGACCAAGTCTTGTTTTCTCGCAACAAGATGAACTATGATTTTCCATCAGTCATCTTTTTATTTTTATTTTTTTGCTCGACTGGTGAAAAAAAAAAAATCTTACCTGAGAAGCAGCAGTGGTCCTAAAAGGGATGGAAGTGATGTGAACAAATCGCCTGCAGGCTTGTTGTACCTGGCAGGACTTTGTGCTGGAGGTCGAGCCTTATCACAAACAAACTATAACATCACCTGTAATCAGTAACCTAACCACTCATGTATGCATGTCAATCATGTTGATAAAAGGCCCCTCCAATGCGCTGTCTCACACACACACATACACACACAGAGGGAAAAAAAAAACGTGACAGCTCTACCTGGTTAAGGTCCAGCCCAGGAAGACTCGGGGCAAACAACACGCCGGGCAACCACAGTTGCACATCCTCCCCCCACCCGTGAAGATCACTCGTGAGTACGCAGCACAACAAACAGCAGCAGCGTGAAGCGGGTCCGAGTTTATTCAAAAAGCCCATGTGTGTCTTTTACTTGACTGTTTTTCCAAACTCAAATGCCTTCCTGTCCTGGAGAAGCGCCGCTTTTGTACGGCAGGGAGTTCCCCTCCACCCCCCTACCTGCGCCGGATCAAAGTCTTCCTGCCCTATTGATAGCCATTGTTAGGGACTTTCTTTTACTGAATCCAATCATGCTTACAAACAGGGTAGTATCATATCTTCAATCATTGGAGAGATTATTTTCATGAATTGGTGAAAAGTAACGAAGTCCAAAAGGTATTTAAACTTTTACATGGAAGGGATTTATTTAATTTTTTTTTTTCTTTTGTGGGGTGAGGGTATTTTGGTATGTTGAAAAGCATTTCCAACGTGAATTAAATCAGGAAACAATTTAGAATTTGGAATGGAAATGAAATGAATCTGTTTTGTTGAATGAGTCACTGGGAATGAATAGAGAAGTTGGGTGAGAACTGTAGCAGTGAAAATTTTGAGGGGGGGGTTGCAAATGGAGATTTTGGGCATGTTGAAAGTCATTCCCAGGATTAATTGAATGAGCTGAAAATTTTGAATTTGGAATGGAAATGATGTGAATCTATTTATTTGAATGTGTTACTGGGAATGAACACAGGATTTTGGGGAGAACTGCAGTGGTGAACATTTTGATTTTGTGGGGGTGGGGGGGGGGTAAAATGGACATTTGGGGCATGTTGAAAGTAGTTCCTAGGATCACTTGAAAGAGCTGAGTATTTCGAACTTGGAATGGGAACAACCTGAGTCTGTTTTGTTGAATGTGTTATTGAGAATGAATTGGGAAATTTTGGTGGGAACTTTTTTTGGGGAAAATGCAGAATTTTTCATACATCTGAATTTGTGGCATTTGAATTGAACAAGCTGAACATTTTGAATTTTAATTGGGAACAATGTGATTGTCTTTCAAGAAGTCATTGAAAATGAATAGGGATTTTTTTTTTTTGGTGGGTTTTGTAATGGTGAAATTTTGGCATGTTAAAAATTGTGAATGGTGGGAGTTGAATGGTTTAAATCTCAAATGGGAGCATTGTAAATGTGTAATGTTAAACGTGCAGTTGGGAATGGATGATAAACTATCTTTTCGGTAGATTTGGCCCAATTTGGAAGGAATGGTGAATTTTTGATTCAAAAATTTTGAATTTTTGAAATTTCAGAAATAATACCCTGCGAGACATGAATTTTCTGAACATGTTGGGAATCGGATGAAAAGTCTGTACGTAGATAAAGGCCGACAAAAAAAGTGGTAAGAATAATAATATGAAATAATCAACCGACACAAAAAATGGCTAGCAAGGTTCCAGTCGTCAGAAAATTAGTCTAAGATCCCTGTAGACAGTAATAAAATAAGTTCACCATTGTCTCCCTTTCTTGATCACAGTCCCAGGTGGCATTTCAGGGCCTGAGTGGTGACTCCGCCTTGGACGTGCAGCTGCATCCTTCGTTAAGGTGAGTGACTCAAGGACAACCGCAGCCGTCCACCAGGCTGTCAATCATCTGTCATCAGGGGTCGGGGCCCGATGGGGAATGGAATGTGTCGTTGCCAGGGACAACATATTCCTTTCCGTCAGATGTCACGTATGGCCATTCGATGACACATCTGGTTGGGCGTGATTTGAGAGAACTAATCGCCGGGGATGCACCCATGGGGCATCTGCTGGGCACAGCTCAAAAAGGCAACGTGGCTCACTGTTCGCGTGGGCTCACTACCTGTGGGAGGGGCCAAAGGCGTCAGTCAGGCGCCCTATTAACTCTTTCAGGACAGCGGTCACTACAGTGTACAGCTTATCATGTTATCAGGTTCGAGGGTGCATGAAAGAGTGAATTGGACATAGGGGTTAAGGCATGGTGTCAAAGTTAAGGCCCGAGGGCCAGATCCGGCCCACCACATCCTTTTATGTGGCCCGCAAAAGCAATTCATGTGTCAACTTCCACGATCCTTTCTCAAGTCTGAACCGAAATGTCACATTGTGAAGGTTGAAATTTTGCATTCATTTTGTTTCCCTGTTTACACTTGAACAATAGTCAAACAAACAACAAACACGTCACAAGGCACATTGACAGGTTCGACGAAGGTTGAAGTGACAACCGAAACTGTCAGCTCTGTAAGAGTTTTTCTTTTCAGGTCCTGTGGAGGGACATTCCAAAATGGTAGTTTGTGCTAACGACACAGTTGCACTGAAAGACTATTTTGATTGTTTTTATCTTTTTGAAGGGATACATTTTGATTGAGGAGGCCCGGTGCTCCAGTGGTTAGCGTGTCGACCTCACAGTGCAGAGGTCGTGGGTTCGATCCCGGCCGGCTCCGGTTTTCCTGTGTGGAGTTTGCATGTTCCCCCCGGGCCTGCGTGGGTTTTCTCCAGGTAGTCCGGTTTCCTCCCACATTCCGAAATCATGCATGTCATGCTGATTCAACACTCGAAATTGTCCCCAGGTGTGAGTGTGAGCACGGATGGTTGTTCATTGCTATGTGCCCTGCGATTGGCTGGCGATCGGTTCGGGGTGTATTATGTTGGATTTATATGTAAGATCTTTGTTTGCTCAATAAATTCCAGTATTAGAGTTAACATATTGGAAGCATTAGGAAAAAAATCCATGTCGAATTTCATCTGATTTAATCTTGTGTCATCCCAAGCACGAGGACCTCAAAAAGGTTACTGCAGTTCCCCTTCCCATTATACCCTTCCCACTCCTTAGCGGGCCCAATCATGGCCCATTATCAGGCCGTTCTCCATTTTCGCACTCAGCGGTCCGCACGCTGATTGTCTCGGCTCCAGAGTGCATTTGTGTCATTCATCGTCAGTCGTATAGCCAACGCCACATGTCCGCAGAGATTACTTGTACGACCGTGTCAGGACCAATCAATATGAGAGCGGGCAGACAATAATGACGGTTAAGTATGTCGGGCTTGTGAGCGCGGGGGGGCAGAAATGCTTTTCCAGGAAAAGCATTTGTAATCATTGAATCAGAAATGTTGAGGTCTGACTGGCTGTATATGTCTACTTTTGGTTTGCTGCTCGTCGGACAAATATGATGGCTTCATGATCTTGTTTTCAGGAAAATTGCTGGTCAATGATGCTCAATTTGGATGGCAGAGAAGAATTACTTGCGCAGGATTGCGCAAGTAAGAATTACAGAATTGGCAGCAGGTGTGCACACCGTAAATTTGCTCAGTCTGCCACCTGCTGGTAAAGCCAAGAATATGACAGAAACCATCACGAAACATACAGCTAAAAGCTACTTTCAAGTATAAAGTGCAACAAAAATGAATGTAAAGAGAGTAAAGAGTCCAAAACAATTCATAAAATGCATAATTTTAGACAGAATACTTTAAGGGATGGCCATTTTACAGTAATTCCTCGGTTTTCATCATTTATGGGGACATGAAGGAAACAAGGGAAAATGCTGAGTGAGGCTGCCATGTGTGCAGCCAATCAGCTCACAGAATAAATCCACTCGTGCTCTCATTGGTCGATGTCGTGTCGGACACCAATCACGCACCTTGAGTGAGTGGCCGTGTACAGTACAGTACAGGCATGTACAAAGCCTTCGAGTCACGTCAGCTCTTTGCAAGGAAACCTGACACGCATCAACATGAAACAATGCTGCAAGATGGCTGTATTTTTATTTATTTTTTTCAATAAAAGCGAACACTGGAGCTGCCAAATTCGAAGCACCAAGGCGCGAGGGATCACTGATACTTGTACTCACCAATACTGTGTACAGGTACCTCTAGTACTTTTTTGTGTATAAAAATTTCCTTTCACACGTTAAAAAAACAAAAAACAAAAAAACAATTGCGACCAATGACCTCTCTTTCACAGATTTACCAGGGTAGCGTCAACTAGTGGCGAGGAGGACTTACCAACTATCAGCTACCCAATACCTTAAAATGAGGCCGCTACTAGCCCAATACTAATACCTGGTATCAGTATTCGCTCATCCCTCATATCCATCCATCCATCTTCAAATCCGCTTATCCACACAAGGGCGCGCTGGAGCCTATTCCAGCTGTCAGGGAGTCCGGCAGGGGACACCTTGAACTGGTTGCCAGCCAATCACAGGGCACACATAAACTGACAACCATTCACGCTCACAATCACACCCCGGGACAATTTAAAGTGTTCCATTAACCTACCATGCATGTTTTTGGAATGTAGGAGGAAACCAGAGTACCCGGAGAAAACCCACGCAGGCACGGGGAAGGACATGCAAACTCCACACAGGAAGGGGGGAGTTGTTAGAATCCATCGTGTCCGTCCTCAATGTCGCTCCCTCTATTCTGTTTTTGGTTGCCTTTCCTTTAATTCAGTGTGGACTGGGCTTCTCCCCAATCATTGCACCTGTCTCACCCACACACCTGCCAGTCTTCACCTCGTCAGCCTCCTGAAGGCCTGTCTGAAGATCCATCCGTTGCCAAGTCTTAAACTAATCATAACAGGAAAGAATGGCGATTTCACAATAAAAAATCGCGTTGCAATGTTTCACCGTGAGATTAAAAATAAAATCATGATATTACAATAAAATTCGCAATAGAATCCGACATTGCTGTCAACCAAGACAGTGTATTGTGAAATCCTGGTGACGTTTTTACAACGTACGTCATGCAGGGGGCAGCATCCTCACATAATTCAATTCAATTCAATGCCGCAGTCGGATACGCAACTCTTTTTGTTTTTGTTTTCATAGTATATTGATTTAGAATCCGTTTTAGAAGGCCACGAACTTTACTGTTTTATTTGTGGAATCAACAGTTGTATCAAGATGTTAAAATGAGAAAGAATTAGTCAGTGACTACGAAATGAGATTATTTTTAGAGTTTCACCCCACGTGATGTTTCTATTTTGGCATTCGACTTGCAGTCTGATGACTCTCTGCCTCCTCTCACCCCCACCCCGTTTTGCATCACTCGTTCAAAACGACATCCTTGCGTCACCGTGACGAATTGTTTACGCTCCACTCCTCTTGTCTTCCCCTCCTCCCCTACCGCAAATCTCTCCATCAGGACCACAAGGAGGAAATGCGCGCAACTTTGCTGCAGCTCCGTCCGCTCAGTTTACACTCGAAAGTGGAGAGAAGCGTCGATTAGTCAAGTGTGTGGAGTTAACGCAATCCCCTATGTCGCGAAAGCAGACGGACCATGACTACAACCTGCGGAGTATGAGCAACCTGATGGGCGAGCGCTGGAGGAAGGCGAGCGACGGAGGAGAGCGGAGTCTCATCAAGGCTCCTTCCAACGCCAGCGTCAGCAGCCTGCAGGTGGCCGCGTCCAACGCCTCCTCCGCCGGCGCACCGGCGGCTGTGTCCTCCTCCTCCACCGGGGACCTGGAGAGGGCTGCGCGCAAGCAGTTCATGCAAGATGTCACGCCGGGCTTCGTCTACGTCCTGTCCGCCTTCTCCGCCCTAGGGGGGTTCCTGTTCGGCTACGACACCGGAGTGATCTCCGGGGCCATGCTGCTGCTCAAGAGGCAGATGGAGCTGAGCGCCTTGTGGCAGGAGGTGCTCATCTCAAGTACTGTGGCCGCGGCCGCCGTCGCCGCCCTCCTCGGCGCCTTCCTGAACGGGCTATTCGGGCGTCGGGTGTGCATCCTGCTGGCCAGTTTCTTCTTCACCGTCGGCGGCATCGTGCTGAGCACCGCGCCCGGGAAGGAGGTGCTCCTGGCGGGGAGGCTCGTCGTCGGAGTGGGGCTCGGTGAGGAAAGCTGCAGTTTGCAACCCTAACTGCGGTCTGTGTGTCGTCTGAGTGATGACTAGTGATGTGTTCTGCAAGTTACAAAAAAAAAAAGGAAAAAGTTGGCGAATTACATTCACGAGCCACATGTTTATTGCCATGTGCACTTGCAAATATGCAAATTTCAGGCACATCAGAATCAGAGCAATATAATGTGTGTGAGCAGTGGTGGTCCTAGTTTTGAATAGCATCCAGTAGGGACCCCCCCCCCCCCTCAAATTCTTATGTCTCTAGTTGAGCGAGAGGCTCAGGTAGAAAGTTACGATTGACAATTTTTTTTCTTATTTTTGAACCAATATTAAATGTAAAGGTATCAATCAACCATATTGGCAAGAGGCTCTTATAAGAGAGATTACATTAGGCTACTAACCATATTGAGAAGTTATCGATGGTTTGAAGTTAGACCCCCGCCCCCCGACCCCCACTCACATTAAATAACAACAAACTATAGTCACGATGATGACAGCTGTAGTCAAACCTGACTGTTTGCTCGTTCCACTGCCTTCACTTTCTTGGTAACTCCACAAGGGGGCGCAAGTTTGCATACAAACGCAAATGAAAAACGTCACGATGTCAATAGAAAAAAAAATCCACCCAGCATTTTTTTTTAATGAATTGAATTATTTTTTAAATGCAAGAAAAAAATGGTCACATTTATTTTTAACTTTTCATAATCAAACAAGTTATATTCTTAAACTAGTTGAACCCTTTCATGCACCCTGTAACCCACATATGTCAAAGTGCCGGCCCGCGGGCCAAATCCGGCCCGCGAGAATGTTTTCAGTGGCCCCTGGGATGATATTGATTTATTATTAGATCCGGCCCGCGGACCGCAGCAAGCCGAGAGCCCGTAGATCTTTTACACGCACCAAAACTACATTTCCCACAATGCAACGGTGACGCGCCAAGCAGTCGGCCGCTTTATTTAAATATTTATTCGTCTAGCAGTCGTTCCCATAAGAGTGACATTAGCTTTCAGATACCCATCAAAAATGGCAAAACGGAAGGTGGACACTGAGAACCGGGGGTTTCAAACAAGGTGAGAGTCGAAGTACATGTTCATGGACGTAGCTGGAAAACCTGTGTGTCTTCTGTGTGGAGAAAGTGTGGCGCGATTGAAATAGTGTAATCTGAGACGACATCATGAAACGAAACACGCAAACAAGAACATGGACATGGAGGGGGAAGGGGGATTTCATTAAAAACGGTATACTTAAAGTTTGTGACGAAGTTTACCCCGAAAAAAAGCAACTCTTTTTAAACGTGAGTATTAGCAGAAACACAATTGCAGTGTTTCTGCAAAGATACGGCGGTGCGTGCTGCGCAGTTTGACGGTTTCC